TTAGGGGTTTTTGCGCAAATCTTTGCTTCATAGATTATGCCGAGCAAAGAGGATTGAAGAACGGTGGGTTCGTTCAATCAAGTGGCGTTAACTGAAGGATTGTTCAAGAAAGATTTGGGTTCGAACAGTGTGTGATCCAAATCAGTCGGGTGAAAGGTTTGAAGACTGGAGGGGTTGCGCATACAAGTAACGGTAACCGGAGGTTTGTTCAACACGTTTGAGGCACTTGATTCGACTTGAATCAAGGGGAGAGAAGACATAGTATCAACATCAACAATTAGGCCTGAGTGTATGGTGACTATTGCTTCTCTTGTATAAATTTTTGCAACAAGATAATACATATCTCAATTCTAGTTTTAGAATGGGGGACAGACGTACCCTAAGTAAGGAGGAAAGGGGAACTGCATAAACAAATTCGGTGTTGTTCTCTCGTTCTCTATCTCTTTATTTTGAATTGTTCACATTTGTGTAATATCGATTGATCGATAAAATTCTGCTGTAGTGTAGTGCTGAAAATCTGGTTCAAAAACTCATTACAATCACTTGGATTGTAATTGAAAAAATTATGCACTTACATTATATAGGAAACAATACTTGGGGTGTTTTACACACCAAGTACTCGACGAATTGATCGCACACAAACTGTTTGCGTTATTGTCAAATTAAGTTTACACTTTATAAGTCATTGGAAATTGGATAAACTAAAGTGCTATTATTTGTATTGATTAATCGTCAAACTATTGATTTTCTTTCTCATTAGATTTGTTGTTCCATTTGGCTTGTCTCATATCTGGTCTTTTTGATAATGGTTCATTTAGACGACTTGTTCCTCGGTCACTTTCGCACAATTTTTTAAAACAATTTTTTTAAGCGCCGACTCTTGTAATAAATTAGTGATCTATTCAACCCCCCTTCTAGATTATTGTCATCGTCTAACAACATCTAGTGCAGAACATATCATGGTGTCCTTTTTCTCATCCAATGAGGTAAGACATTGTCTATTAGACAAAACATCATGTCACATGTGTAATAATCTTAATGTAATATTATGCATATTAAGTGTCTCAAAACTTCATCAGAATATATATTTGTGCTAGGATTGAGATTCATCAACCATTTATCTCTATAGATTATGATTCCTAACCTTTTAGAAAATCTCGCTTAAGCATTTCATCAAAACTATTTCATTAACCATGTCCAACATTGGTGTTAAGTGAATTTGTTTTGATGATCAGTATGTCACCTACATACTATACTAGATTAATGCAAATACTTCCGCTAACCTTTTTGTGTGCACAAGATTTAAACTCGACATTTATTAATCTATGTTTTCACAAAACATCATTAATAAAATAATTTAATTCCAAGAAGTTTTCTTTAATCCATAAATGGATATATGCAACTTACATACTTTTCCATAATCTTGTGTCACATGAACCAATTATCCAACAAAAACTCCCTTGTTAAATTGTTTCATGTTCCATTATCATGAAGATATGTATTTTATGGTTCTTTAATTTCTTCAAGTTCTACATCACTCCCACTGACTCCTTTAGATACATATTATCTCTAATGGAAGACTCCAGTTCTAGTAATAAAAGATATTTGTCCTGTAACATGTTATAGGATATGTGTCCTTTATTTTCATTGGGATACATCCATAAATACATCTCCATCTAGATTGTGATCAAGTTTACTTAATAAACCTTACAACTTAGATGATCATAAAGATAAACTATGTACTCTTACTTCCATAGCAAATATGGTGTCTCTACGGCTACTTTAAATGGAATTGGTTATGGATAGGAATAACTGTATGTAAAATAATTTATAAAGAAGAGTCACAAAGATATAATTGAACTATATTAGATCCTACAATGTCAAACATGATACGATATAAATGGTCATTATACTCTTTATATAAGTATTTACCACAACGAACAATTTGTATGGTCTTAACACATTTTCGAGTTGTTTCCTTCTACTTCATTCTTGAACTCTTCTCAAAATAATTCTAACTTGTGTCACATATACAAATTCATAACTCGTGTCAGTAATATAAATGAACTCAGAGAAATAAAATTCATCTAGCAAATATGTTTAGAAGTCCATATACACCATACATGTATATAATCAAGATATATCATATGTCCTTTAACTTAGTCAATGATTTGAGATATTAGATATATCTTCCAAAATCAAGACTTGCATATATCAAATTATATAAAACCAAATTAATCCAACAATCTATTCTCATAGACTTTGAAGATGCATCTCTCACTTATTGGACTAAACATTAATTCTATATATATATATATATATATATATATATATATATATATATATATATATATATATATATATATATATATATATATATATATATATATATATATATATATATATATATATATATATATATATATATATATATATATATATATATATATATATATATATATATATATATATATATATATATATATATATATATATATAAGGTTCAAATCTTATTTGATGAATCCTACATTTTTTATATATGAGCTTATCAAGATCGTAGAACTCAAATCCACTATTTGATTTAGTATTGAAAGCATTGTTTTGGATAATCATAACAACACTTGTCCATTATCAAAATATGCATTTCTCATCTTGTCCATACAAGACTTAGAATTAATGTTTCTTTTACTAAATAAAACTTAATAGGAATTATTTGGCTTCATTCAAAGCTCTAATCTAAGTCTAACCATAAGCTCTTAAAGTCAATGAAAGCTCGTTGTTCCATTCTAGACATAAGATGACTCAAGTTATAATCAATATCCTACTTCTTCAAAGACTCTTCACATTCTTATAAATGTGAGATCAATATATAGTATTACATACCCATGATGTAGAAGTAGACAATTTGACTTTCTATAACAAAATTTTTGAAGAAAAAGTCTTACTTTTTTCTTTTACTTTGACTCTTTTAATAACAATTAACAGTTTGCTTCTTTCAACCAATAAAATCACTATCTTCCTTTAGAACCGTGTTTTTCTGCCAAAATTCAAAGGAATATAAAATGAATTGCATTCCTTTTATAATTCATCTATTTAGCATCACAAACTACTTTCTTTTGTTTTCAACAAGATGTGGTAGATATATTTAAAAATACATTCATAAAGAATTTAATCTATCTACCTGAGACAATCTCAAATAGAACTTGTGACTAACTATTTGGTCTATAAGAAACCCAAATTTTAAATCTCAAAACTATTTTAGATCCATTTGGATTCCTAACTTGTATAGAAAAGACCTTGAAAAGTTTTACATTTCTCATATATTGTAATTCTTATGTAAAAGAAAATTCTCGAGGTTAATGATCATATCAATTTTTGTGACGACTACAATTATGAGATAAGTTATATCTAGACATTCGACTTGAACCTTCTCAGAAGTATCGTTCTTCGAATCTAGTTATATTCGGTTGTTAGGAATTGGTTTCTTGAGAACATATAATTTTTCTCGTGCTTGAGAACAATTCTCAATTTCTGTACCAACTTAGAAACTCCTTTCTGATCCTTACATCCTTCATAAGGACATTTCATAGTAAAATATAAAATAAATTGCAAAAGAAATTCTAACTATAAAACGTGTAATATAGTTGTATCAAATTAAATCATTTTAATAAGTACTTTTATTACAATGCTCTCACTATTTTTACTCAAACCAAATGACCCTCAACATTTGATTTAGAAAATCCTGTTGAATTATTTATGTGAAAACTCTTTCCAATTGTATCTAATACAATTCTCAAATTTTATCAATTGAGTGAACAACTCTTTATTCTAATCCATCATATGAATTGTTCTCAACTATTGTATTTGCTTGCTACAAGACCTGATCTTTCCTATTATGTATTTGTGGTGGCTAGATACATGGAGAGACCAAATGAAATTCATTTAGTAGCAACAAAAAGAATCTTAAAATATCTAAAGGGAACTGTGAACCTAAGAGTTTTGTAGAAGATGAATGATGAGATGACACTGCAAGGGTGGTTGGACTCATATTATACCGGAGATAGTGATGCCAGAAAAAGCACCATAGGGTATGTTTTTAAGCTTGACCAGATCCTATCTTATGTCTTCAAAGAAGCAACACATTGTGACTCTTTCAAGCACTGAAGCTGAGTAGTTGCAGCAATCTCATGTGCTTGTCAAGTAGTGTGTCTTCGAAACATTCTTCATAAGTTTGGTCAAACTCAAAATCATGGTACAATTATCATGTGTGACAATTCCACAATCAAATTGTCAAAGAACCTTGCATATAGATGTAAGGTTTCACTTTCTTAAAAACTTGACCAAATATGAAACAATTGACAATGAATCATTGCACCATAACAGAGCAACTTGCAGATGTGTTAACAAAGTTATTGAAGCTCAAATCTTTCAACTACATCAGAGCAAAAATTGGAGTGTGTGTCATTTGAGTCTTTGTTGTCAATGTGTATTGATGATTGTATCATGTTTTAATTTGTTTCTTTGATAAGTTTTAGATTAGGGAATGTATGTTACAATGTTAGTTGTGAGATAGTTAACTATGAATCTGATTACTTGATATATAAATAATCAACCATGCATGTAAATCAGTTTTATGCCATGCAATCTATGAAACGATATTTTCCCATACTCTTACACGAAGAGCAAAACCGACGGTATTTTAGTGACACAAATACTATTATAATTAATATCAATGAACACATAATTGTTAAAAACTAAAATAAATTAATCAAAATTCATAAAATATTCATATTTAGAAATATCCTTTTAGCTATGATTTTCCAAACTAACAAATTCAAGATAACACAGGAAAAATTTGTATCCAAGCACAAAGGCCAGCAAACAGAATTCTGGCATCTAACTATTTGTATATATAGCTTTTAAATATGTATCACTATCAGTTTTATCACTATTGGCTACTGAAAATAACCATAATAACTAGCTATTTGTTCATAACGGTGTTAATTAGTACCAATACCATTAGCAGCAGAAGTATCAGAAGAAGACGATTGATCCTTTCGAGCCCGAGCAGTTAACCCGGCATACCAAGCAACCCTCATGAGCTGCAGACCGAGAATGAGCACCCACCAGCAAACCAGACCCCTAATTGTATGCATCATCCATTCCGGTGCACTTAGCTCAACACCAAGTTTTAATCCTCTCATTAGCTGTAAGACACGGTACGACTCATAAATGATAGGTGTAACGAGCCAGACTGGTGATTGCCAATGCCAAGTTAACACTTCGGTCAGAACCTGTACTGACAAAAGAAGAAGATAAGGACCTAGCAGAACTGCAAACGAGATGGAAGATAGTTGAGGTTGGAGAAGGCCCTTTTGAGATCCAAACATCATAAAAAGTGGGATGATGAATCCGGTGAAGGTAGCAACAATGTTCCAGAACTGGTAACTGAATGGAGCCTTGCTTTTGCAGTCTTGCGTTGGATGTTTAGGTCTCGAGCATGAATCGGCCATGAGGAGAAAAAGTGTTGCACCAAGGTTAAAGATGCAATCGAGTCCAATCAAGGAAAGTAAGCTCGCTATATTGGAACCTAGAAAGATTGAAGATATTGGTAACCATAACGTGGGGACCATGCCTGTCGCAAGGAGAACGGCAGGGCCGAGAAGCCACATCGGCCACTTGATAAACTGAAGCTCCTGGCCTGGCTGATCGTTTTTCTCCACAATCCGTTCAGCATTTGCTGTTGGTGACTCAACCACTTGACTAGATTCAAGGGTTTCAAATATATCGGTGGTATTCTGCAAGAAATTATCACTTTGATTATCAGCAGGAGCGTACGAAACGGGTGATGGCTCCCATGGAGTTAACTTTGTGCAGCATATGAAGGATTGATTAACGCGAATACTTGGAAAACTGGATCGCTTGAGTTGGAGCGGTTTTACAGATTTCAACAATCCTTGACTTCTAGAACATGGCGTCGGTAAAGTGGAGGTATGGAATATGTGATGGGTATGAGTTAATAACGATGCCATTTCTTTATTCACGCTTGAATGCAGATTCTCTAAAGGACTCTGTGCTCTTTATTTTCTTTCACCTGAAATTGAGAAAGAGGAAAAACGTTTGTAACCCACATTGTTATAAACTTGAAAATTGAAATACATTCTAGCTCTCAATCAGTGAATTTTAGTAGCTATAAATAATACTACTCTGATAATGCTCTTCGCCATCAGTAGCAAACTAGAGATCACATAAGTTATGGACTCAGACTCAGACATAGGACATGACACAACATGGGCCCTAGACACCAATTATGTGAAAAACATAAGACACCACAAAATGGACAAATATTGAACTTTGAGATTTCTAATTTTCTATGTTCATCATCACATCAAAAGAACTTGTTAAGTATCAGTGTACATGTCTATAATAACGAGTAATACAAAAATACTACCAGACAAGAAGATGATGATGAAGTACTATTGAACAATGTATTTAACCTTCAACCCATCAATCTACTACCATCAACAATCAAGATTACCCCACTAAGTGGGATTGAGTACATGAATCAAACCGTGTTTCTATCCCACTTGTTAATCTCAAGATCTTTCTAAATAGATTTTTCTTATGGTTTTTCTAGATCTTCCTCCAACCTCTAATTGTTTGGCTACTTTCCTTACTACAGAATCCACGGCCCTTCCCTCTATATGCCCAAACCACCTAAGTCTATTTTCTACAATCTTTTCTGCTATAGATACTACCCCTCAACATGTCAAAGTCCAAAAAAGAAACTAAAATGGAGTGACAGATACGCCTAATACGCAATGTTGTTAAATATCGGTTATAAAGTGTTCAACAAGTGTCAGAAAGGAAACATCAACACCTTCTTCTATACAGTGTTGAAGCTACATACCATACATATAAAATAAAAAGAAACCAAATTCACTATCTAAAGGACATAACTTTGAGAAAGGAGAATTCAATTCATCACTCCGTTCACTCTAATACACATAAACATGTATCCCCAAACCAGTAACAAATCAACTTCATCACCACAAAGCAGCAACCAATTTACCTAAACTAAAATTGTAAATAAACAAAAATCAATTTTTATAATACCCTTTGGTCTATTAATCAACTTAATAACAAAATCTATAGGGACAGAATTTGGGTTATTGTAACTATAAAATTCACAATCAGCTATCTAATTAAGCTAAAAACCCTAAACAATGATAAAGAACAATTCAATGAAATTCAGAGGGGAACGTAAAAGAAACAAATTGAAAGGTGAAAGATGCGAATGAGAATTGAGAAGTAACCCTTTAGTTGAAAGAGTCGCTGGGCAAAGCTTTGACGCATGAACTTGAGATTGAGAGGAACAAGGTAGTGCTTTTTTATTTTAGTATATAAATAATTTATTTGGATATGATATTTCTATTAAAGATATCATATTAATGTATTCATTTATATTGATTGTATTAATATTATTATTATTATTATGTTCTTCTAATTTAATTTTAAGTGTTTGTGGTGCGATTTGAATCGATTTTGAAATAAAATTTTATATATAAAAAAAAATTATTTATAGTGATTTTAAAAATGATAGATTAAAAAATTATGATCAAATTTAATTTGATTTAATTTGAATTAGATTTTAAATATTTAAATTAGGAATATATATTTTTATTAAGATTTTAAAAATATTAATAAATAATATATTTGATATAATAAATACATTATTTTAAAAATTAATATTACAAAATAAGAATTATTAATTGAATTAAATGAAATAATAAAAATAAATAGTATTAAAAAATTAGTATAATTAAATAATTAATTAACATAATATATTATATTAATAAGAAAATAAATATAAAAATATATACTAATATTTTGTTTTGGATTGATTTTGAAAAATCAATTCAAAATCTAATCTAAATTAAAAAGATTTTATAAAATCACATTTAAATGCATTTAATAATATTAAATTTTTCTTTTTTCCAATTTTTTAAATTTTGAATCGATATGCAATTTTTATTTGATTTGATCTGATTTTGAAAATGTGAATATTATTTCACTTTCTATATTAAAATAGTATCTATAATAATATTGTGTAAATCACAAGGCATATAATATATCTTCATCTACATTGAAACATGTTTTTGACAATTGTATCTTTAAAACAAAAAACACAAGTAGTGTGTGAAATATTTGTGATTTTGTTTTAAAAATTGTAAAAGTATTAACCTCCAATTAGATCATTATTTTGCATTTAATAACTGAAATTTAAAGCAATACTTAGTGTGTATAATATTAAATTTTATAAATTGAATGCAATTTTCAATTGATAATTATTATGATTTATATGCACAAATTTAATTTTTCCCTTATTCAATTCCAAATCAATAATTGTTACACATATTATAGTGAAAATTTTAGGTAAAAATTATATCATACTGATTTGTTTCTCACAATTAAACTATCAAATTAAATAACATGTTGATTTTAATATTTCATGATTGATGTTATAATGATTTGATTCTCCTGATATTTAAAAGGTTTAATTTTCATTTAATTTAATTAATTTGAATATATTTAAAATTATATTATATTTACATTATTTTTCATTCTTTATTTGTTTATACTTTTATGTATATCAAATGTAATTATGGCCAATTACACCACTTTCACTTTATAAATAAAAATTAATTTCTGTTTATAGAGTAAATATAATACAAGAGAGAATTGTCTTTCTTCCTTTTTTTCAAAAAATGAAGAAGTAAGGTTAAGTTTAAATATGAATATTTTTTAACAATTATTATAAAGTTTTAATTGTTAAGTAAATTTATTAATTTTCAATTGAACCGTACAAATATAACTTTTAAAATTAGTTAATTAAAAAAAATGAGATTAATTTAATTTAAATACTTAGTACGTTCATGTTAAAGTTCACGTGGATTGATTAATCATTATTAATGTACACAATAATATGCATTTCATTATGTTTATTTTCTTCTAATTTTTGTGTCCAAATTTTTTACCATTCTTTGTCGCAAAAACTTTTATAGTGGAAATATTTTATAATTCTTTTTCAGTTAGAATGATTTCAACACGGTTCAATATTTTTATTATTTTTCGAAATTTTTATTAACACTACAAGAAAATATGTTTTAGCTTCAAATATTTAGAGTCGACTATAACTCTAATGCTAGTAGCATTGGTTTTATTCATTTAAATTTAATTTTTTTTTTAATAACTTTAATACTAGATAGAAGTTAAGTAGACACCACATTTTTAAATTTTTATATTTATTTTTTAAAATGTTAGTGTCTCCAATATTAGACACTAATTTCGTTCTCCCATATCTCAAATAGTTTTTTTTCTCATACAATTATTCAATGTCAAATAAAGATTCACATACTTTAAAAACCAAATCTTACGAAAGAATATTTTTAGATTTATTTTGAAAATGTATTTTTGACCTATTTTTTTACAAGATGGTGATGTGATTCACTTACGCATGGATTTCGTGTATTTTGTTGTAATGTAATTCAAATTCAAGTCACTTGAGTTTTCATTTCAGTTTGCTTCTCATTTGAGTTTGAGTTTGAATTTAGTATACATTTGAATTTGAGTGAATGTATTTAAACCCAATGTCAGTTGCAGTTCTAACAAATTTCTGAATTTGAGATTTTGAAAGTTAGTTACGTTTTTCATTCTCTCTCTTTCTCTCTGCAATTCTTCTTCATCTTTTTCAATTCTTGTGCAATAATGGAGGTTCAGTGTTAAACTCAAACAATTGGTATTCAAAGCTCCAATTCTGATTCATGGGAAACATGAGTGCAGTGAGGGGTGCCATTGATTTTCGTTCTAGAATTCACATTGAATTGAAGATCGAAATCAAAGAGAATCACAAATTTTGATTCTTAGGGTTTGGGACACATAAGTGTTAGCGAGAACTGAGTAACTTGCACACGGACGAAGATGAACGCCAGAAACGGTAGCTTGAATAAAAAGCTTCCATTATTCGACATAAATAATTGGAATCAGTGGTCGATTCAGATGTGTGTGTTGTTTGATGCTCAAGATGTTCTTGATCTCGTCAATGAAGGTTAGACTTCGGTTGTAAAAATGCAAAAGAAGTGCAAAGAAATGCGCAACATGAAATGAGGAAGAAGGATCTAAAGGCTTTGTTCTATATCCATCAATGTGTGGATACAAAGGTGTTTGAGAAGATTGGTAATTCGGCGACAAAAAAGGAAGTGTGGGATGGACTGGTATGGTGCTATGGTGGTGACGCATCAGTGAAGAAAGTAAAGTTGAAGTTTCTATGCAAGAAATATGAGAATCTTAGTATGAAGAACAATGAGAAGGTGCCTGATTACATCTCTAGAGTGATTATGGTCATGAATGAGATGAAGTCTCGTGGAGAAACTCTCTCTGAACAAGTAATCATTAAAAAGGTACTAAGATCACGTACTCCTTAGTTTGATTACATAGTTGTAGCCATAGAACTATCTAATGACACAATCACCATGAGAATTGAAGAGCTTTAGAGTGGTTTAGAGGCATAAGAGTTGCCTCTGGTTGAAATAAACTCTGAAAGGGAGTCAAAGCAGGCTCTTAAAACTCAGACTCTGAAGGCTTCTTTTATTAAGAAGAACCAGAAGCAAGCATGGTTAGAGGACAAGAAAAGGAATGGTGGTGGTGTTCAAAATTCATAATTCTCCAATTCTGATAAGAAACATCAGAATGTTCAGAAGGCAAAGAAGAAGTTTGACAAGAGAAATGTTCAGTGCTACAGTTGCAACAAGTTTGGCCACTTTTCTATTGATTAATGGTCAAACATGGTTAGTAAGGGTGAAGAATCCGACATAGCTAGAGGAGATTCTGATGATGAACATGTGTTATTGGTAGCATCTGATGCAGGTGAAAAATTGATAGATTGATGGGATATGGACACTACCTGCTTAAATCACCTAACTAGAACACAAACAATGGCTGGTTGATTTTGAATATGGTAGAAATACCAAGA